TAATACTTTATTGTATACTCGTGCATATTAGCTGGTTAGTTATGCTATAACAAACACCTGTGATGACAGCGTACTCTTACCTTTAACATACACACGCATCAGGTGCTTGCTATCTGGCTGGAGTAGAATATAATTCATGGCACTGCACAGCTCTTCATCACTGGAGAAGTTAACTTTATCTCCATCCTCATCTGCAAGGCAGAAGCCCAAAAAAACTTAGAGGTAGCAGGTAGGTGTGTAGTGAGCTTAACGACTGCTTAAACCAATGCTCAGTTGCTACTAGGGGTGGGACGATACATGTAGCTCACGATACGATCCGTATCACGATACAGCCTGCATTGTACGATACGTATCACGACACTTTCAAGAGAAACTACCTAGCAAACTATACACACTCAACAGGGACCTTACCAATCAAGGCTTATAGTATACAACTGCTATGGAATTGTGAATTGCATGTTTATTTTGCTTTGGGATAAACTACGCTACTAAACTATATATTGATTTTAGTGAGTAGAATATCGATGTGTATCACGAATGGTCAAACATATCTAGGAGTATCGTTAAGGTTTGTATTGCGATACATCTACATGTCGAGGAATCGTCCTACCCCTAGTTGCTATGTTGTGATACGTATGCACATGGGGAATCAATTGAAACTTACATTTATGTGAATGTGCAAACAAATACAATTAAATGAATGTACTTTGAAAACCCCACAATAATGTTCCAATATAATCACACATACCTTTCCAGGAGAGGGTAAAATCATTTCTTCCATTCAATGCTGGGAAGATATTTTGTATCTGCTTATGCATAGACCTCATAGTCGCCCACTCTGGTTCCGGAACATCAAACCGACGGATCTCGTCCTTCGTAAATGCTTTCACAGTGATTTGCATGATTGTTGGTTGTTCTGAGATATCTGAGAATACATAATGTGCATTGATAAATCAAGGGCTTTGTGATATACAACACAATATATACACACATATGTGCGCGCGCACACACACACACACACATTAGTGCACTGTGTCTACTGTGCTGTGTAAAACACTGTTCCCTTAAAGGGACTACGTCACGAATTTTCTATGATAAAATTTGTAAAAAAAAAATTGCCATTTTTTTAGTTTAAAAGTAAGAACTAACATTACTAAATATATCCTCAAACTCTCACCTGATAAAAATGTTTTTACGTTGGTTAAATTTGCAAAAATCTAGACGATTTGGTAATTTCTGTTGTCTAACACTATTCCCCCAGTACTGTTCAGATACTGGCAGATTGACATGACATCTCAATTTTCGTTTTGGATTTCACTCTAGACTGAGGATTGGTCATGATTCCATCATCACACCCCAAGAGGCATGATGGAGAGCCCTCAAGGAGCTCTCCATCATCCCTTTTAAGGTTGTGATTTTTAGTAGAGCTCTCCATCATGCCTCTTAAGGGTGTGATTTTTTAGTGGAGCTCTCCATCATGCCTCTTAAGGGTGTGATTACGGAGCGTGAAAAGACCCCCTATGGTGTCCTAGGGGAGTCATTAGTAGTCCTCCTGTACTTTTCAAATCTGAAAGCCTGAGTCCGCGTCCACACCACCCGAGTCCGAGTCCGAGTCCGAGTCCGAGTCCAGTTTTGATACAAAATAGAGAAAAAATCGGAAAAAGGGAAAAAATCGGGGAAAAGGGGACAAAAGGGAAAAAATCGCAACAGTGCATCGTAGACATTCGAAAGTGTATAGTCAGCCGAAAACACAGAGACACGAGTCATCCATTTGTGTTTTACGAGAATGACACGGCTTGTTGAACCAAATGAGAGAGTGCTAGTACCTTCGAAGTGGTAGAAGAAGAGAAAGAAGTGGTAGAAGAAGAGAAAGAAGTGGTAGAAAAAGCACAAAGGGACGAAGTAACAGCATATTCAAACCAAAGGGACAAGAATCTTAATCGAGCCATTGAAAACGTTACAAGATTAGGCCGTGTATCTAGAAAACCTAGGAGTTTTAGTTTTAAATTCTTGTAAACTGCGTGTTACAATAATGTACAGTTGTGCACTATGTATGTAGTGGCCTCGACCCGAGTCCAAGTCATTGCACTCCGAGGCCAATACCGAGACCAAGAAAAACGGTCTCGAGGCCAAGACCGGCCTCGAGACCTACAACACTGGCTACTAGGGGTGGGACGTTACGATCCGTATCACGAAACAGCCTGCATTGTACGATACGTATCACGACACTTTCAAGAGAAACTACCTAGCAAACTACACACTCAACCGGAACCTTACCAATCAAGGCTTATAGTATATAACCGCTATGGAATTGTGAATTGCATTATGTTTATTTTGCTTTGGGATAAACTACGCTACTAAACTATATATTGATTTTAGTTAGTAGAATATTGATATGTGTATCACGAATGGTCAAACATATCTAGGAGTATCGTTAAGGTTTGTATTGCGATACATCTACATGTCGAGGAATCGCCCTACCCCTAGTTTCTATGTTGTGATACGTATGCACTATGCACATGGGGAATCAATTGAAACTTACATTTATGTGAATGTACAAACAAATACAATTAAATGAATGTACTTTGAAAAACCACAATAATGTTCCAATATAATCACACATACCTTTCCAGGAGAGGATAAAATCCTTTCTTGAATTCAATGCTGGGAAGATAGATTGTATCTGCTGATGCATAACCTTAAATCCATTTGAGTTACGTTTGTACGTAGCAAACCGACGGATCTCGTCCTTCGAAAATGCTTTCACAGTAAATTCCATGACTGTTGGTTGTTCTCAGATATCTGAGAATACATAATGTGCATTGATAAATCAAGGGCATTGTGATATACAATGCAATATATACACACGTGCACGCACGCACGCACGCACGCACACACGCACACATTAGTGCACTCTCTACTGTGCTGTGTAAAACACTGTTATGCATTACACAGTGATTTAGCAAGATTCACTGTAACCTCATAATAATTAGTTACAGAGAGATAAAATAACATAACTCAACAAGAGTAGGGTTACTACCCCCTACTCTTTTCGAGTTAGATTATTGTATTTACTAGCTGAAACCCGCGCTACGCGCGGGCTTAGTGACTGTGATGCATGTGTTACCAGTACAGTAGTGTTATGTGTAAGGGTGTGATAATGGAGGTTTAGTTGTTGCACATGTTTGTTTGTTTTTTAATGGTTGACGATGTCAATACAAATACATGTAACAATCATGCTTACACCGCTAACACATTAACCATTTGTTTGGCAAGCACACAGCTCGAAATACAGACGCACACGCACGCACAACACAAATTTTTTTGATGCTATATGCTATGTAGGAACTGACTGAGGTTGTGATCCGCGACTGGAAATGTTAGAACATATAGATAGATCTAATGGGCTGGTAGTCGGCGGACTGATTATACCACTTGGCTGGTAGCAGTAATATTACGTGTTTCGGCATGTTTCCACTGTGTGTGCGGTACGGGACCGTCACATAATTGCGTTGGTTTGTGATCGCTTTATTGTCTACGCATTATTTGCACTCTTGCGGGACGGACGTAATCAGTGTTCTCATTAGGAACGGCCACCGGCCGAATTGCCCATCTATGATCACTCTGCTGCTTCCTGGCCGGGTTTACACCATTGGCTCAAGTATATTTACTACTAATTAATTTATATTTATATTATACTATATTTATATAATATATATTATATATTTATATTATTTAAGTATATTTATTGTTACTATAAAAAATCATGAAAACCCTGCGTAATATTACGTGCTTGTGATCGGACCGCTTGCACAGATCGGTGTTTACGACACCCGTACAGCATTGCAGACTTCCAAAAAAAAAATCTGCTCTGATGAAATTCAACTTGTACATCTCATATGGGAAACTATGGCGAAAATAGCTACTGAATATTTAACTTCATTATTACATGGTTATTTCTACTTACATTATGGGGCTTACAAAAATCTCAGACACACAAATCGACGACCGAACAAACGGTTTTCAACCGAGTATAGTTTAGAACCCGTCCCGTGTACTAATCGATCTCCTCTGTGAATTTGGCGCTATTTGGATCCAAACTGACGGAGCCTTTTATCAACATACATACATACATACATACATACAACATTCGCCAAATTATAGTAAGATAGTCTTAGTAATAGTAGGGATCGATTAGATGGAGAGATATATATGACAGATCAAAACTGCTATTGAAACGCTTCAAGTGCCTAGCTGTGCTTCAGCAATGACAGCAATACTATATACACCGCGCCGAACTGCAGGATTAAAATAGAAATAATAACATACTTTATATTAATATACTTTATCGTAATTTATCTTTAATTATGTATCCTTACTTATGTGTCTGCCATCATATATGTAATAATATATTATTGGCATTATAAACATTATATACATATATGCATGTGGCCGACTCGAAGACTTCCCATGCAGTCAACTCGATCGCCCTCCTACGCAAGTAATTCTGATACTAATATTACCATTATATTATTTATGTATATTGTAATGCGTGAAAAAACATTTTTGAATTTGAATTTGAATTTGAATTTGAATAACGATTTTTCAAACTTACCATATATGCAGGTGGGTTAATTCTGTAGTGTGGGTAGCACTTGCAAGTTCTAGATGCTCGAGTACGAGTCGGTACTAATGCAGTGTAACGTCGTTTGATGATGAGTGGCCTATAGTAAGTTCAGAACAAAGATCATAAAATTATAGCGCCGTAGGCGTAAGCTAGACCACTCATTTCTGTTTCTGTTTCTGTTTCTGTTTCTGTTGGCGTACGGCTCATAGGGTCTATGTCCCCCAGGGTACTGCCGGAACGTACCCTGGGTACCGGAACGTACCCTGGTATTGATATGGTTATAGGGTTATAGGCGTATAGCTAGCTAGGCGACTCCCTAGACTCGTAATTATAGTGGAGTAGGCGAGGTACGGTCCGGCATATTAGATAGTACCAGGGTACGTTCCGGCGCGGCAGTACCCTGGTGGACATAGACCCTATGAGCCGTACGCCAAGTAGTACATATACAGTACCCCAAATTTGGCATCGAGGCAACGGGCGCTATATAGCTATAGCCATGGGGTGAGACCTAGCTTGGGTAAATTGCGAGGTATAGTTTAATTAGCCTTTTTTAGCCGAAATTCACTGATTGTGGTCACAGCCAGAGTTTTTTGTGCCTTTTGGCTTTAGTGCAGGGCCGGCGGAGCCGGTCCGGCCAGTCCGGCCATGGCCGGACCAATAATTTTTCCGATAATTATTTTTTTCAAGCACACATTTTCGTTATGCACAGGCCGGCCGGATCTACAATTATTGCAATCCCGAGCATATAATGATCTGAAATCACATATAGTTTATGTATACACGCATATATACTACTATACATGACGTTGCTTTTATGTTTATAAACATTGACGTCATATGCGCACATGCGCAGTTTAACGGTTGGCAGCAAGCAGATGCGTGATATTGTTCGATACAAGCACACGCACGCACGCACGCACGTGTACGTACACACACACGCACGCACGCACGCACGCACGTGTACGTGCACACGCACG